TAAAAATTGGAATCAAGCCAATCAACAAAGATTTCAAAAGGGACACAAAACACTTCCCTTGCATTCAAACAGTTTTTCTTTGTAAAATCCCAAGAAAAATACAATCGCCTTGTTGTCCAAGAGTCTCTTCGTCTGCTCACGAACATCATTCACATTCAAACAAAAAGTCTTCTGAGTTTTTCATACACTTGTATTATGAAAAATTCTAAAGAGAGGCAAACACCACCTCGAGCAAACTTGGTGCTTGGTGACACTCAAGGACTCTAGGTGCTTACACTACTGTATGCGACAACAAATGAATGCGATGTTGTCCTCAAATAGCTAAACGAACGCAAAATTTTTCAAAACAATTTCAAATTGCTTTTAAAAAATGGCAAATTTTTGCAAAATTTTTTAAGAAATGGCAAATTTTTGCAAATATTTTAAAAAAATGGCAAATTTTTGCAAATTTTTCGACATTTGTCAAATTTTTTGAAAAATTTGAAAAAATTTGAAATTTTTGCAAATTTGTCAAATTTTTTCAAATTTTTCAAAATTTCTCAAAATTTCAAAATTTCTTTAAAATTTTCCAAATTTTTTCAAAATTATTCAAAATTTTTCAAAATTTTTGAAATTTTTTTACATTTAAATTTTTGGTGTACACTTTTTTGGCCTGTTGTTTCCCCCTCGGGAACAAAAGGAAATGAATGGGAAGAATTGCCATTGGAAGACTGTTGCTATTGCCTCTGATTAGAACGTTGATTAGACTGTTGCTGCTGCTGGCCATCTTGGAAATGGTAGTACGCCATAGCAGCATGCAGTGCTTCAGGTGGAAAATGAGGTACAGCAAACCCGACCGAGTTGTACGGATGAGATCCTTGTTGTTCATCTCGCATGCGTTTTCTACAATCTGCCCTTATATGTCCAGGCCTCTTGCAGTAATGGCATGTTTGAGCATTGTTGTTTCCTTGCCTTGGAATGTAGCAGTCAGAAGCATAATGTCCAGGCTTTTCACAATTATGGCATACAAACGCAGGTGTGGTTTGGCCACCTCGACCTCTTCCTCCTCTTGAACCTCGTGGACGGCCTCTGCCACGTCCTCTCCCACGCCCTGGGGGATTACTGTTGGATGTTCCTGGAGCATCCTCCACTGAATTAACTGAGGCAGTAGCAGGCGTCAAAGCCTTCAATTTCTTCATGAGTTCTGCCAACTGCGCATTGACATCCACTTCAGATGCTGTTGCATTTTGCTCCACTTGTGCGCTGTTCACTGTGGTCTCCACCATACGTACTTTCTTAGACTTTTCCACACTGAGGAGCAATCCACGATTTAAATGTCGAACGGCTTCCTCCAGTGTATTGCAAGGAGCATACGCCAAGCGGTTTGCTGCATCCTTGTCTGCTAACCCTTTGACAAAAGCAGTCACAAGGGCTTCTTGTAAGTCTGGTTCCGTATGAGTAACCATGTACTCTCTTCCCACTCGTTCCACTTCTTGTGCAAACTCTTGTATTTTCTGCTCAGGTTGCTGCTGGAGAGTTTCGAACTCCCTCTTCCGTTCCCACAAGGACTTGACACCACTGAAGTTTTTGTCAGTATGACGTCCAGGTTGTCAAAGTTGGCTTCCTTCTGCTGCTGGCCAAGCATTGTAAGGACCATCAGGGCTCTTCCTCGAAGGGCTCCAAGCAACCGACTACCCTGTTCTTCTTTGGTCAATCCTTATGTCAAAGCCACAAACTGTGCTCGGAACATGGTATAGCACAAAGTTCCATCATACTCTGGGACTCGGATTGCTTGAGGATTTTTAGCGACCAGAAGTTGACCAACCAGCTGGACAAAAGGTTGGAAACCCTCTGGTAGTGTCCCACGAGCACCTTCTTCTTCCTCCTCCTCTTCATCATCTTCATTCTCATCCTCATCTTCTTCCTCTTCTTCCCGCAGATACGCCCTGGCTCCACGCTGGACGGTGCGTCCACGACCACGTCCACGCGTAGTCCCTCGAGAACCACGGGGACGGCCGCGACCACGACCTCGAAGAGGCTTCGTCGACGTCAAACCCACGGAACTCTTCGTCTGTGGGAACCATGGAGACGGTAGCATCCGGCTTTTGAGATGGATTCTCCGCACTCTCAATGATGACAGATTCGCCTCCAGACGCCGACGTTGACGCGATGTTCCACGGGTTTGAACGTTGACACGACATTTTTCTGTTTTTCTTGTCTCTTGTTTTACCCTTATTCCCGAAACTCACCACTCGCTCTCACCTGGGCGCACAGTAACCAAACCAGCTTCTTCCCCTATGGGAGCACAATTCGGCCACAGGCGTTCCTCCCTGGTATCTACTTGACTTCAAGGCGCTCAAAGATCGCAAGCTTCTTCCCGTGAGGGAGCACAACGATCCCAGGCGTTACTCCCTTGAAACCACTACAGACTCATTCAGACACATACACACTCATACAGGGTGCACAGGTTACTCAGGCTTCTTCACCGGAGTGAGCACAGAATAAACAGGCGGTCTTCCCTGGTCCCCCTTAACCTCGCTTACACCCCCTAACCTCGACGGACTTCCCTAACCAAGACGGACTTCCCTAACCTCTCGACCTCAGGGCACAATATACGCAGGCCTCTTCGCTCTAAGCGGGCTCAACGTACACAGGCTTCTTCCCTTGGTCTTCCCTCCTAACCTCGTCCTTCTTTCCAGAATCACCCAACGTTGATTTTCAGATTCGTCCTTCCAAAAAGCTAAGGTACCCGAACAGAGCTACCGAACCGTGCACCGCTGTCACCACTTGTAGTGTGTGCAAGGGCTGAAGGGAGGGGTAAAGTGAAGAAAATCGATTTTCGGTTTTTGCTTTTTTTTCGACTCTTTGGGCCTTGGTACAACCAAATCTGACCATATTTCGACCCACAGCACCGTCAAATCGGCATAGGGAGCTTTTAATTCGTACAATCACTGTGAGGTTAGGTTAGGCCCTCCAACTTTAAACCGGTTTTTCTCGGTCACTTTTTTTTGGACCTTGCGCGCAGGATATCTCGGAGACCATAAGAGGTAGAATGTTGTGCGATAGCTTAAAACGATCAGTGTTCAAATAGCTAGAAGACAAGGGAGAGTTTTTGTCAAAAATGTGTCTCAATCTTTAGTTACAGGTCAATGAATGTCCAAAAGCGGCATAAAAACAGTCATGATTCTAGTTTTTAAGATTAAGGCCGAAAGAAAACATGTTTTTGAAATCCGGCTCCCTTGTCTTCTTCATTTTGACCATAAAAAATTTTTGCAACTTCGTCAGATTTTTTAGGACAACATTTGGATTTGAAATCCTGCGCGCAAGGATTAAAACCCTAAAATGGACCAAATCTAAAATGTTTGCGAAAATTCAAAAAGTGCCACCAGACGCGCAACCAAGGATGATAAAATGGTAATAAGTCATGGAGAATCCAATGGTGATGTCCATTCTCATGTCAGGGAGACCAATATGTAAGAAAAAACGGCTGAAAACAAGCTAGGGCCCGCCCTTCCGTCGAACCGAGTTGCCAGCTCCGCTTCGCTGCGCCGGCAACTCGGTTCGACAGGGGGCCGGCCCAGCTTGGCCTGCCGGCGGCCTTTCCTCGGGCCTTCGGCCCTCGCATCAGACCCAACTTGGCCAGTCGAAGGCCCGGGCCTTCGGCCCGCTCGCATTACGCACCCCGTGAGCGGGTAAAGCAAAGTTATCGATGTACCATCGTGACTTAGGCCCGCCCTTCTATTTACAATATGCAAAAGTCCTGACACTCTTTAATCCAACTGTCCTTAAAATATGCCCACTTCATTTGTCTCTTAGCCCTCATTCCGAAAATACCCATATTTGCCATGCTACTGCAACTCCTTGCAATGGAGGCACAGCAGGAGCGCAAAACGAGCCCGTCGCACTTTTTCCCATAACTCATGAAGGCGGGCTCCTGGACCCCCCTTCCGACCCCTCGTTGAAGAGGTCTTGCCAAGACCTATCGAAAACTTAAGTAAAAATTTTCAGTCGGTCGACCCCCTTTTTTCAAGATCCTGATGTGACTAATAGACGAAGTCGGGCTCCTGGACCCCCTTTCCGACCCCTCGTTGAAAAGGTCTTGCTGAGACCAATCGAAATCTGCAATAAATTTTTTCAGTCGGTCGACCCCCTTTTTTGAAGATCCTGATCTGGCCAACTTGTAAAAGCGGCCGATGGGGTCGGGACCAGGTCCATTCATCTTGTCTCGTCGCCCCGATTCCAAAAATACCCCTATGTGCCCTGCTAGCACCAATAATGGCGGAAATCCCCCTCCCGCTCATGTAAACCATGATGCACCTGCAGCAGCCCTTGTGCGACCCGGACGGGATTTGCACCACCGGATTATTTGTTTGGACGGTACTCCTGAAGTACCCTCCAAATCTGGTTACTCTAGCTCAACTCCTTCCTTGTACACAGACGCCAACAACGACAACAACGACAACAACGACAACAACAACACACAGACACAAAGGCAAATGCATAGGCCCCCCCCCTATTTTTTGAATAGAAGGGCGGGCCAAAAACATGAAAAAATTCGAAATTTCACTTTACGCCCCCCTTAAGAAATGGTAGAGATGTTCAGGTATCACTGGTTTATTGTAAGACGTATCAGGGTCAACACTAGGCGACAGACTGCATGCCGGCTCTGCTGAGCGGCTGCTTTTATAGTTTGAGGGTACGTTCGTTAACCAACAGGACCGTGAGTGACCAGTTCTAGGAGTCCTTGGCAGGGAGCTCTCTAGGCCAATAGTATAGGAATGGAACGGAGTGTGTTTGGGTTAAGATGGCGGCTTGCATGCAAGTGACCAGATATGGTTAGGAATCTTTAGACTGTATTTCACAACATTTGTTTATATAAGCTTGTATAAAGCTCCCTTTATAAAAACCGTGCAGTTGTTTAAAGCTTCCTTTATAAAACGCCGTGCAGTTGTATAATAGGGGTGGTCGAATGTACACTTTTTTCGAAATCTCAAAAGTTAGATGGCGCATTTTGTAGTATTTTTTCTGCTGATTCCGAATATGTACTTGGTTTTGAGAAAGGAGTCAAACTGAGGGCGCTACCAGCCTTTTAAGTTTTGAAAAATGGCTTAAAATGCGAACTTTTAAAATTTTACTTTTTCTCCGTTTGAAAATCACAGTACATTTTCGGAATCGGCAGAGAGAATGCAAAAAGATGCGCCATCTTACTTTTGCATAATTTTTGCAAAATGGATATTTTGACGAAAATAGTCTTTTTGACCACCCCTTAAGAGCGAACTTTTCTCAAAATGTCGATTTTGCAAAATTTATGCAAAAATTAGATTGCGCATTTTGTTGCATTCTCTCTGCCGATTCCGAAAATGTACTGTGATTTTCAAACGGAAAAAAAGTAAAATTTTAAAAGTTTGCATTTTGAGCCATTTTTCAAAACTTAAAAGGCTGGTAGCGCCCTCAGTTTTACTCCTTTCTCAAAACCAAGTACATATTCGGAATCAGCAGAAAACATACTACAAAATGCGCCATCTAACTTTTGAGATTTCGAAAAAAGTGTACATTCGACCACCCCTATTGTATAAAGGCCTTTATAAAACGTTTTATACGAGCCACTATAAAACTTTATAAACCTGGATAAAAAATCCTTATAAATTCATATAAAAACTTATAAAGGCCTTTATAAAACCCATTTTTACCTGGGTACACACCCCGTGAGCGGGTAAAGCAAAGATATCGATGTACCATCGTGACTTAGGCCCGCCCTTCTATTCACAATATGCAAAAGTCCTTACACTCTTTACTCCAACTGTCCTTAGAATATGCTCATTTCGTTTGTCTCTTAGCCCTCATTCCGAAAATACCCATATTTGCCATGCTACTGCAACTCCTTGCAATAGAGGCACAGCAGGAGCGCAAAACGAGTCCGTCGCACTTTTTCCCATAATAATGAAGGCGGGCTCCTGGACCGACCCCTCATTGAAGAGGTCTTGCCAAGACGTATCGAAAAACTTAAGTAAAAATTTTCAGTCGGTCGACTCCCTTTTTTCAAGATCCTGATGTGACAAATAGACGAAGTCGGGCTCCTGGACCCCCTTACCGACCCCTCGTTGAAAAGGTCTTGCTAAGACCAATCGAAATCTGCAATAAATTTTTTCAGTCGGTCGACCTCCTTTTTTGAAGATCCTGATCTGGCCAACTTGTAAAAGCGGCCGATGGGGTCGGGACCAGGTCCATTCATCTTGTCTCGTCGCCCCGATTCCAAAAATACCCCTATGTGCCCTGCTAGCACCAATAATGGCGGAAATCCCCCTCCCGCTCATGTAAACCATGATGCACCTGCAGCAGCCCTTGTGCGACCCGGACGGGATTAACACCACCGGATTATTTGTTTGGACGGTACTTCTGAAGGACCCTCCAAATCTGGTTGCTCTAGCTCAACTCCTTCGTTGTACGCAGACACCACCAACAACAACAACAACAACAACAACAACAACAACTACACACAGACACAAAGGCAAATGCATAGGCCCCCCCACTATTTTTGAATAGAAGGGTGGGCCAAAAAGGGAGTGGGGGGAGTCCGAGCCGGGGCGGACCAATAGTCGAGCTTCTTTTTGGGTCTGTACAGCTTACTCCAAAAGCTGAAAGCAGCACGTTCGAAATGAAAAATTTGTTTGACTGCAGGTAGACAAGATGCAACAATAGAATTGGGCTATATCAAGATAAGCGCTGGGTCTGGATTCTGATTCTGATTCTGATTCTGACTCACGGCCACCGCGATCGCGTTCGTGGACACGCCGGAAGTGCATCAAGAACGATACAGAAGGCCGTGACCGTGCAGTCCCGTACCGTGTTCTGTGAAGTCAGTGTTAATGCATATATATTGTTATGGATCTCGAGTATAATCTACTGGAAAATGAACTGGCACTCTTTGCCGAAGAGGAACAAACGATGGCAATGTTTTAAGGCCGTATTGGAGCTCGTATTATGGGCATGCTAAAGAATGGCAATGATTTTGGAGGTTAGTAAATTATGTCAAATGTCATATTTTGTTGTCCATTTTTAAAGAAAAAACCCCAAAAAACTGATATTTCATTTGGCAGAAGACGATGATGATGGAAGCTGGGTCAAAGTCGAGGTGGATATAGAAGGCTATAGAACTATGGGTGATCCATCATTCAGAAAACACTACAGACTTAGGAAAGACACATATGAGGTATGTATTAGTTTTTCTATCCAGTATCTTTTAGTCATGGTAATGTAACCTGTCTCCAAATTCCTGTACAGACTCTTCTTGAAACTCTGGCGCATCATCTTGTATATTCAGGCAAAGTGCAGAGAGTGAGAACACCATTGGACATCCCACTTCTTATGGTGCTATGGATCCTCGCCAACCCTGACTCTTTCCGAAGTGTGGCCTTACGTTTTGGAGTCTTGCCAGGAACTGTATATTACCATTACGCCTACATAATAGAAGTTCTGCGTGAACTGGCACCCAAATACATTCAGTGGCCTGATGCTGAAGAAAGGATTGTAATCAAGGGAAGCTTTCAAGCATATTCTGGTTTCCCTGGTATTGTGGGTGTAGTGGACGGTACCTACAATAATATCACAGCTCCAATTGAACAGCCAGATCGATACATAAATAGGCACGACACTTTCAGCTTCAATACCAGTGTCGTTTGCGATCATACGCTGTTGATAAGGGATATACATTTGGGAGAAGTAGGGAGCATTCACGATCAGCGTGTGTTTCGGAGAAGTCCCTTGTATCAAAGGCTCCTCAATGACGACCAGCAGCAGCTTATTGCAGTTGATGAGCATCTGATTGGTGACGGCGCATATTCTGTCTCTGAAACAAACTTTGTAAGTGCATTACATTTGCACATATTTTTGCTTGATTCAAGTTTACTGAAGGGCTCTTGTATTATGTCACAGATCATGTCACCCTTCAGGAACAGGGGCAACATGACCGAGTTGCAGAGACGCTTCAACTATGCCCTGTGTTGGTGCCGTGCACGCATTGAACATACGTTTGGAAAAGCATTTGGGCAGTGGCGACGTATGAAGATGTTGCAGTGCGTAAACCTAGACATTGCCACCGACCATATCATGGCGTGTTTTGTGCTTCACAATTTTATGATTTTGAACGGTGAAGTTTTGATTGTGAGAAAATGAAATTGAAGTAAAATCTATGTAATATCGTCTGTTGAATTGCAAATAACTGTTATTATAATTTTACAGGATCTGGAAGATGCTTGGGAGGCGCCTGATGATGTACTGGAGCGTCTGATGGAAAACGAGCCAATGCCACTTGAACAACATCTCATCAATGTCCTCTTCTGTCATCTTACTCATTGAAATATGATTGTTGTAGCCAAATTCATCCAATGCTTCTTTAACTTTTTGAGGCGCTTTACAACCAAGGATTTCCCTCCATCTCCTTCCACCTTTCCCAAACACTCTTTTGATAAAGCACCAGCCAAAAAAAAAACAAAAAAAAAAAAAAAAATTAAGACAGTGGTTGTTTTAAGATGACATATTTTAGTAGGAAATGAGACCCCACAGTTTAGATTTGTTAGATTTGTTTGTTTTGAAGTAATTGTAGATGATGGGAAAATGCAAAATTGCGTCTGCAACCAACTCATCCAACTATGCGTCACCAAATTTACCTTCATGCTTAAGTAATTGTCGCTCCGCAGTGATACAAGCAAAAAGTGTGGCCATATTGGAATCACAATGTGCCGTACAGCTTGAATGGGAAAAACGTGATGATGGAAGTAAAAAGTAAGTTAAGAGATACATTTTGGACGAGGGATAAAACCCGTTGGTCCAGTTCTTTCACTATAAAATATTTTAAAATTTAAAATTTTAAAAAAGTTTGATGTATCTTTGTTTATGAAATTTAGCAGTGTTAACTTGAAACTTTCATGCAGTTGTATTTGGTGCATATCTTGCACATACTTGTATGTTTGTATATTTATGGAAATAAAACAAATAATTTTGAACAGTGAGTAATATTTACAATTTGTTTTTTTTAAACCTCCTTTGTTAGAATCGGTTAGAATGGACATGCAATGACTTTTCATGTCAGCTCCAAAGGTACGGGGACCGGCTGGCTGCAGCACCAACCACGATCTGACCGTGAACTAAAGGCTAGGTCAAGGCTTCGGTCAAGGCCAAGCACGAAGTGTGGCCTACCAACCGGCGCACCTGACGGTGCCGATGCACAGTGTAGGGTAAAACGGGAAGCATCGCAAAATCCCACATAATTCTTCACTGCATCTCTTCTTCAAAAGAGGAGAGAAAGTTGAATCGATTCGGCTGTCATGGACGCTACACATAGATTTGAATGCACTCACCTGTGCTTCGCCCGCTGACCCCGTCTCCGTCATCTTGATGCACTTTGCCCTTTAGAGGACCTAGTCTACAGTTTTTTTAATGGATACCGGGAAATTGACAGCAAGATCAGGAATTCTGAGCTCTGGAACTAGCTGCGATAAACTGTGACCGTTAGACTACTGCAGTCTCGCGGATTGTTGTGCCGTAGCTTCGCGGGGGTTCGCGGGTCAAGTGGGGGGAGGTGGGGAAGGGGATGCACTGTTGCGGGCATGGGTCATTGACCGCTGGGCTGCGTTCGGGTTATCCTGCTACAAGCAGAAAAGGAGCTTTAGAACGTCGCGCGTTCAGCGTCTTGCAAGTGCTAGAAAAGAAGATCATGGATGATCTATCTTGTAACGATCGGTGTAGAAAACTCGAGAGAAAACTAAGAGCACAGATTAATTATCTTAAGAATAAGCACGAGTCGTAAGTTAATACTGAAGTAACAAAAATGTCATTGTGTGTGCAAGTGGGCTCTTTTATCACAGGCCTTTGAAATAGTTTGAAATAGTAAAGCTGGGGGGTTGTACTAGACCAATAGTTTTGGGAAAAAGTGTCTGTTTTTTTTTCCAGGGTTCGGGCTTTATTAGAAACTCCTTACACGGAAAAACCTTTGTCTGAAAAAGAATTTCAAGACCCTATTTGTAAGCGTCTTCATGCAGAAAGGCATGGACTTCTGTTTGTTGAGAATGTGTAAGTATTCCTATATTGAAGGGATAGTTTGGCATGGGAAGAGAGCGTTGAGATCATTACTATTGAAAGAGGTTATCTTTCATTCAAAATTTATTTTGTTTACACGACGGTACAAGACACAAGGCATCTATAATCCTGCCGATGCTGCCACAAGACAGTGCCAATTTCATTTTGTAATCACCACACTTCTTTTTATAAAAACACACTTACAATAATGACTGTGCAGTAAAAGTATAGATCTATTCTGAATCTGTTCACACTTCAAATCGAATAAGAGTCTTCATTTTGATTGAAAAATAGGGTGTTAAATCAATAAGATTAGAATCATCAATTATTAGTTGTAGCCTTATGCTGCTAATGATTCTGCTTGTGATTCAACTGTAGCAATGACTTAACCAATACAAAATTTACTTTACAGGATAAGAGGATTGTTAGGAGCAGCAACAACAACAAACGATTGTGACATGGAAGAGCCACCGGAAAAGTTCTTGCGTGAGTTATTTACAAGCCTTTTCTGTAACTTTAAGTGACTTAAACTGTTTTGATGAAGAGAAACTAATGATTTATCAATCTTCAATCAGCTCTAGAAAGTTCAACACCTAGCGAAAGATGTCAATCCTTGACGAATGATCCAGACACTGACTCCAAGTCCAATTCATCATATTCGTTTGAAGCAGGCCAAAGATGGAGTTTAAGCTGCTGTAACAAAACAAGGTAAGAATGGTTAACACATGAAACACAGGCACAGTGCAGTGCAATGATATAAAACAATAGAAACCAACTCACATTTATCTGTAATTTTGCAGTCCTGAATTTAATCCCAATGAAGAATTTGAAGGTGAGCTGCAAACAAATGCAGAGAATAGGGTAAGGTGCCCAGTGATGGCCATGGTACCAGTGATGGCCACTTTAGACTTTGCGCCGACTTTTCATCCACGCGGGAGAAGGTAAACAGTTGAGCTTTTGGGGTTTTGTACCCTCACCTATTAGCAACACAACACCGCAAAAATTTCATCCCGTTACTGTCGTGGGCGGCCGCTCGGGCTCAGCGCAAAGGCTGCTGCGTTGACATGTTTTGTTAATTTTGTAGAGCTGAGATCAAATCAGTTATCGCAGCGTTTCTTTCGCAGATTTGGAATTTTTACTTAATTTCTACCTGATTACTGTAAAAAACGGAAGCACAGAGCCACTCCCCTCTCAAAACCTAAACTTGCTATCACCGAGTAGGGCCAATGCAATACAAGCTATCTATTTGGGCTGTAAAAGTAGCCTTATTATATGGTCAAAAGCGGTTAAATAGAGCTTTGAAAGAAGCAGGACATTTACTTCCTTAGAAAATTTGCCTTTGGTCACCACGGACTTACTGAAAATACTTCGGCACGCGCTCCACACATGCGGGAGTCTGGGGGCGGAGCCCCCAGCGAGCAGCGCGAGTTGAAAGCTACCGCCAACGGGGGCAACTTGGGACACCGTGGGTAACTTGGGACTGTCTGCCCTGTACAGCTTGTTTTTGCTGCCATTCAGCGACGGGAGTTCCTAGCGTCAAACCCGCGGTAGGGTTTTGTTTTGGAGGCCTCAGGGCACGCGCGGAAAGGTGGAAGAGTTGCATAACATCACAATTAGTATTTGAGAAACGGGAAACTACATAATAGAGTATTTGATAAAATATGTCAATCACTGACAAGTTGACCTTAGTTCAAGGAGTGAAATGCGGATTTGGCCGATTAGTCTCTCTGGGTTGTTGGATCATACACAGACAAAAACGTTCGCAAAATGGCGTTGATCATAGTTTTCTTATCTTCGGTCCAGACTTCAATTTATCAAAAATCGAAATTTTACGGGGTAACTTAGGACAGTCTTTTGCTCATGTTTCCAGCAGTCCAAGCCTGCTAGGAGTTGACCGACGCGGTCCCTGACATAACTTAAACTTCGGATTTTACGCTGATGATGGAAAGAGATGCCTTGCTCTGCAGTTTTGCCTTCTGGTAATCCATATTTTGAAATTTTCAGAAAATGCTTGGATAATACCAGTAGAAAAGAGAGTTCCACGTAGAGCCCTAAATATATATAGTCTAATATCAGTCCTACAAGAGTTCCTAGGCCTGAATTCTTGGTCTACATGTTGTGACTTAAATTTATTACATCCATTAACATGAATAGATGCATGGGAATGTAGCTAGTTACCTACTGTCCCAAGTTACCCCCGGTCATGGGGTAACTTGGGACACTCTTTTGAGACCGCTGGGAAACGATATAATCGAGGCAAATGAACCAGACAAGCATGAAATCATGGGGAAAGGGCCAAACTTTAACATAGTTAGGATCCATTGGTCTGGGTTGAGAATCTTGCCTCTGGCGTTCAAAAACGTGAAAAAGTGTCCCAAGTTACCCCCGTTGACGGTAAAGCGGTACCGTAGAACGGGGTAATATGAGACAAATTTCGAGGTTTTTGGTGTATTTTCCCCTTTCAATTTCAATTTGAGGTACCGAGGTGTTCATCACTTGTTCATTGACCCTTTGGCTACACTCCCACCAAATTTCATATTTTTAGGTGCAGTAGGGACCTTTTAATAACCCTCGGAATGCCGTCCCATATTTCCCTGCAATGTGGGGTAATATGAGACATAAGAAATAAATGTTAAAGAAGTATGGATAATTACATCATTTAGGTAGGTTTGGAGCTTTACAAGTTCTTTTCATTCATTTTAAAGACGATTGGAAACTATAATGGAGACGATATAATATCTGGAGGGGAGAAAAATGGGTGTCACTAAAGAGAGCTGAAAAATGTATAAAAAGTCATGAGTTGTGCCTGTTACATGAAAAAACTTAACGAAGAGCATAGATGCCGGTCAGATAGTAAAACAAATTCGTGTTAAAATCATTTTTTTTTTGAAATTATTAACAGTGTAGTATGTTTGGCCTCATATTTCAAGCGAAAAGAGGTTTCTCTATTTTCCCTGCAAGGTAACAAAATTGCACTCTATCGGGAACAGGCAGCCCGGGAGTAGTCATAACGGAACCAAATTTTGTCCTGGTTATGTTGACATAATTGCCTACAGATTTAGACCTCGTACGGACGAGAACCCGAGTTCTAACCGAGGATTCTGGGGAGGTTTTTACTAACTTTATAAAACTTGTTAAAATTTAGAGGTTTTTCCTTTGGTTCTAAATAACCCTGGCGAGTCTCTGATAGCCTTCGTGCGTTTCTCGTGAGCTGCAACGGCCTCCTAGATCACGAAAAAAAAATTCTCGGTGGACTTTTGAACAACCGCTAGATAGCAACACGACAAAAACCGAAAAAAGTGCGCTTTGTCTCGATTTTCCTTCATGTCTCATATTACCCCGTTCTACGGTACAAATTAGTGTCTGTCTTTCCAAATTGCCAAATGGACAACTTGATACTAAATAATAATAAATGCACAAGGCAACAGCAAGGAACAGAAAATTGAATGATGCAGTTGTGGCTATAATGATAAAGCAAATGCTGGATTCAAAGAAAAGCAGTCAAAGACACCGCTAACTGTCATCAACCTATCATGATGCAATTTGTGATTACGTGGCTCAAGGATGCAAAAATATAATGACAAAACTAATCAAACACAAAGTTTTGTGTTTAGAATTAGGACCTACATCTCATGCTTTCATTAGCCTTTACCTGACATGATAATTCCTTTCCCCACTGCAAGCAAGGGTAAAAGGGTGTCGGGCCTCCAATGACAAATCCACAGCTCCAGCAATTGGCATTGAACCCTGTGGGTAAGAGACAAAAATTAAAATAACTGTCAAAATATGGGGAAAAGGAGTGAAACAGACTTAAGTGAGATTGATTGGAAATTGATTGAAGCAAACAACAGCACAAAACAAACTCCGTCTGAAGGCACCAATCAACACAAGTATGAAATAAATCAATGAATAAACATTTTCACATCAGAATGCAATCTGCGGTGGGGCAGTTAAGATTTCAATACTCATAGTGTGACAAAGAACGTAAACTGTCTTTGTTCACAATTGACAAGGCAAACTTAAGAATTTGAGATGCTAACAGCGTAAAGATACAAGTGTAGAGTTGGAGCCACTAACTACACTCTAAAAAAAGTTATGAAATTTCATATTCAAATAGGTCTTAAATTTCATAATCACGTTCTAAACCTCTATTTTCATAACACTCTTATAAAACTTAAGATCCTGTAATGAATTTTAAGATTTGGGCTATGGATTTTAAGAAAAACTGGTTATAATTTTTTAGAACAGGGTAACTTATAACTCCGGTTCTTAAAATCTAGATTTTCGCTTTGAAAATTTATAACGCTTGCCAATTTTAGAGTAGAGGATCTGAAAATTTTAATCCTTTGCGTTCTGCTGCCAAGTCCCTTGTCTGTGTTTATGGATACTGTGAAGTGAAAAAAGCATGCAACAGAAACATTTGTCACAGGAAGTTCTTTTTGTGGTCAAAATCCAACCTCTGTTAGATAAATTTACTCTTAAAGTTGGGGGCTCCAACTCCCATTAGATTATGAGCTATGGAGGTTTACGTAAACTTTGAGTCGTTTCCCTCAAAATTTCCCTCACGACAAAGGAAAAAGTACGCAAACCTCAGATTCTGGCATTCAACATTCAAAGACACAAGAAAAAGAAAGCGTTGGCGCATTTGAATACATATATCAGTCCAGAAGAGGCTGTAAACGGTATTTTACTAGGCCCCATGAAATTTGAGAGATTTTGCCTCGTTTTTGCCATGTATTTGGTTTTACAAGAAAACTAAGCGAGATATTAAACAAAGCCAACAGCATCTTTTTTTCAATGCAAAAATAAACATAATTGCCAGAATCTGAAGGATGGGTAGCTTTCACTTTGTCGTGAGGAGAATTTGAGAGAAATTACTAAAAGTTAACGTAAACATTTATAACTCAGAAACTATTCTGAGGTAGGGCCCTATTCCCAGTGTATGAGTTAATGCAACAGTAAGGAACTTTTACCCAAAAATTGAGACATCTGACACAAGTATTTTTAAAATGTTACATAGTCACTTTTTTCACTATACAATAACCTTAAATCAGTTGGTAAAGTTCTCTTTTTTTCGGCAAGGGTTCACATTTTTCAAACCGATTAGATAGGAATTCTGATGGGCGCAAATACAAATCGATAAGCTTACATTGTATGCACAAATTGAAGCATGCCCGGCAAGCATGCACTTACTAGTGCATACATGCCATTTACCTGCTTACATCTAGTGCATAAGAGGCAGGGAGTTGTCTGTAAGTGCATGCTTGGCGGGCATGCGCTAACCAGAGCGTGCTTGCAGGCATGCTTCAGTTAGTTCAAACAGTGTATACACGCCGGGCCGTGCCGGGCCGAGCCGAGCCGCCCCGTCGGTGGCCAGCCGAGCCGGGCAGGGTGAGCCGAGCCGGCGCTCGGGCGCTGCTTTCCCGGAAAATCACCGCTCGCCGGCTGGCCGGCCGAGGCTACCTGCACCGGCCGAAGGGTCGCGAAATCCCTCGGCCACTCCGGATTACTGCTGAGAGGCTGCGTCATTTTAAGTGTGTCTGTGTCTCCAGAGCTGTGCACATCGCGTCCGGGTCCAAGGCTAGTCAGTCGCGCCATCAATTTAGTTTCGCTGGACCGTTTAGTGTTATTTCGGCGCAGTGCGTATAGTGCAGTTGAAGTGTTGCCCGTGGTGCCCAACAGTCACCACTCGTGTTTCAAGAGTTTGAAGCTGGATTGGCGATTTCCGGAAACATGACTTGTTTTCGTTACAAGCGGCGTAACTGAATGCTGATATTCCATCTTTTAAACTGCAGGGACGGGCGATGAACGTGTGGGTGGCGTTTTATTTCAATTCGCCTCTCCTCTCTCATCTTTGTTCCTAAAGTATTTTTCCTATCGATCGAGTTTCCACAAAGTGTTCATCTGGACCTAATACGCTGCTGCGCTGTTTACCACGTCGACTGAAGTTAATTGCTCTCATGTATAACTGCGATGTTCCTTGTGCGTAGCTCTCGGAGAAAAGTGAAACTCCGCTTTAGTAGCGCGAAATGGCGCGCTACGATGCATAAGTGCTGCATTGGGTGTGAAAAGAAATGAAACCTGTCCGAGATTTCAGTATTTGTAACATAAAAGTTCAGAACGGGATATGTTTCATAGCATTGGTTGTGGAGATTAAGAACCGGATATAAGTTTTCATAACACATTGCTTCTGAAAATTAATAATAGAGTTCTTACGTTTCATTAAGCACTTATGATATTTAAGAACAGCTAGTTATGAAATTTAAGATCTATGTGGATATGAAATTTAAGAGCAATAGTTCTACAAATAGGTCCAAAACCAGGTTATGAAATTTCAGAAGCATTTTTTTAAGAGTGTAGCTAACTTCTACGATGAACAGATATGCAAGTACTTTTGCGAGCGCTCCGGTATCAACATTGAATTAGGGTGTCATTATTTAGCACAAGAGATGCTCAAAGGCGAGAGAGAAAGAAATGAAACAATAAGTTGTAAGGTTAGGAGGTTATGAACCGGCGCTGACCGGCTACTTCTGTCTTTAGACGAGTCTGTTGATGACGAGCGTGAGTGACCAGAGCGCGGAGACTGGAAACATTTCTGCATTTAAAAATTTACTCACAGAACAATAAATAACAAACCGGAATACAAAAGTCATTGTGACAAGCAGCACGAACGAAACAGACGAGCACCATTTTTGGCATTCCACCTCACCGCCTTCCAGATTCTTAACCACGCTCACGTCACCGAAAACTCAAACAAATACCAACACCAACCAGGCGGCGCGAAACTTTTGAAATGTCATGTAAGTACCGTCGCGACTTAGATCCACTCTAAAAAAAATATTATGAAATTTCATATCCAAAGGACTCTAAAATTTCATAATCACGTTCTAAACCTCAATTTTCATAACCTTCGTATGACATTTAAGATCGCGTAATGAAACCTAAGATTTGGGTTATAGATTTTAAGATTAACTGGTTATAAATTTTTAGAACAGAGTAACTTATAACTCCGGTTCTTAAAATCTAGATTTTCGCTTTGGAAGTTTATAACGCTTGCCGATTTTAGAGCAAGGTTCTGAAATCCTTAACAATTTAGTCCTGCTGCCTAGTCCTTTGTTTGTGGTGAAATTAATAAAAAGGTGAAGTTTTCATTTATATCGGCATGTGTTAACATTTTCCGAACCGCTAAGGTAGGAGTCCTTGGGGCGGTCCACATACTGAAATGCGTACATTTTATGCACTAACTGGAGCAAGCACGCCTTCTACTTTTAAGTGCATAGGGTAAGGTGCCCAGTGATGGCCACTTTTAGCGCACAGATGCGTCTTCCAACCGTTTACGAAGTCTCTCAATCGTCGTACCGTTTGGGACATTTTCAAGAGCATGCAAGAAGGATAGAGTAAAGGTTCTCCACTTAGAAAAGGAGCAAAATTTAACTCTGTCTTTGCGAAAAGAGTAACCAAAATCTCAGTGCAGTTTGCCCAGTGATGGCCACCCTTTGCTTTGTGATGGCCTGTGCCCTGCTCGGTGATGGCTAGTTTAGGTTTTGAGAGGGGAGTAGCTCTGCGCTTCCGTTTTTGACAGTAATCAGCGAGAAATAAAGTAAAAATTCCAAATCTGCGAAAGAAACGCTGCGATTACTGGTTTGATCTCAGCTCTACAAAATAAACAATTATGTCAACGCAGCATTCGTTGCGCTGAGCCCGTGCGGCCGACGACGACAGCAACGAGACGAGATTTTTGCGGTGTTGTGTTGCTTATAGGTGAGGGTACAAAACCCCAAAAGCTCAGCTGTTTACCTTCTCCCGCGTGGATGAAAAGTCGGCGCAAAGTCCAAAGTGGCCATCACTGGTACCATGGCCATCACTAGGCACCTTACCCTACAGGTATAACATGCATGAGAGGTATAGAGAGCTGTCTGCTTCAGTTCGCGTGTACATGGCATGATGCACTTGTTAGTGCATGCTTAACGGGCATGCGCTTGTTAGAGCGTACTTGCAGGCATGCTCCAGTTAATGCATGTTCAAAATTTGTCTGTAGTATTTTCTAAGAGGCTGCAAATCACGTCCCTTGCAATGCCTGACCGGCCCTGCCACCGTCTTCCGGGCCGGGCCGAGCCGAGCCGGCCGAGCCGGCCGAGCCGAGCCGGCCGAGCCGGCCGAGCCGAGCCGGCCGAGCGGCCGAGCAGAGCCGCCTCGAGCCGGCCGACCCGAGCTAGTGGGCCTCGAGGCCCACTAACCCGAGCCACCCCGAGCGAGCCGTAGGGTGCCGAGGCGGCGCTGCTTCCACGGAAAATCACCGCTCGCCGGCCGGCCGGCCGAAGCTACCTGTGCCCGGCGAGGGGTCGCGTGATCCCTCGGCCACACGGGATTTCGGCGACACTGCGTCACTTTTAGTGTGTCTTTGTCTCCAGTGCTGTGTACATCGTATCCAGTCCGCGTCCGCGTCACCGCAAGTTCGCGTCATCAATTTTGTTTCGCTGTACCGTTACACGGAAAAAAACGCTTGGTTACAGTAACCAGCTTCGAGGTAGGTTACGGGTGGTTGTTTGGGAGAACCATGCGGGTTAGTTAAGTCAACCGACTCTTGGTTGAAGTAGCCCAGTCAGCATGGTAGCATTTACCAAGCGACCTGGCTACCGCCGCACAGTGGGCCAGAACCCCTATTTTCGTGATCACGGCCTCCTGCACAGCTGCTTTTTGACCGAATTGGGTGAAATTTTAACGGAAGCTTCCTGAAAGGTCCCTTTAGAGACGGAAAAAGTGAGATTTGCATAATTGTGTTTTAAAGGTATATTTGGCTTATGTATAAATCCAATTTACCCTAAATTGCAAAAAATGCTATTTTGTTGCATAGATTATGGTATAAGCAGGTGCTGTGCAAAATTTCAGGACCACAGGACAACAGGAACATGCATATTTCGTCAATTAAAGGTTAAAATTGGGTGAAAATTGAGGTTTTTGACTATTTTTTGTGTATTGGTGTAAGGTGTGTGGTTTATTTGGGGTATGATGTAAATACGGCACCCAAAACTAGTTCACACTCTCATTCCAGGAGCGTGACCTCACGTTGAAACAAACGTGACAAAATGTCACATTCGTTTGAGCATTGTGTCACGTTCGTTTGAATGTGAAAAAGCGTATTTTTAGTAGATTCACATCCAAACGAATGTGTCACTTTGTCACGTTCGTTTTAACGTGATGGCACGTTCCTGGAATGAGCGCGCATTCTTATATCGAGCGTGGACTAGTACCAACAAGGGTAGACACGTCTAAGCAACCTGACACGTTCCAACACGCACTGAACAGTTTGTATTAGGGCAGAGTCGTTTTAACGGTACCAACACATAAAGTGAATTTTGGACTTATTCCGACACGTATGGACGAGTAACAGTTTTCATCAAGTTCTTACGCTTAACAAGACGGGAGAATTCCCGACACACACCGACACTAACCGCAACGTTAGAACGTCGACGCGTACCGATAACACGTTTGAGTACGTTCGAACACGTTTGAACACGCTCGAACACGTTGGGACACGTCCCGACAAGCTCAGACGTGTTCGGACACGTTCGAACACACGTTTGAACACATTTGGACACATTCAGACGTCCGAACACGTTTGAACTCGTCCGAGCAGGTTTGGACGCATTTGAACACGTTCAAACACGATCGAACAAGACATTTGTACTCAGGAAGCAACATAAATCAGATGCGGAGAGGCGCTGAAGCCGATCTCGCATCAAAAATACATAACCGTCGAAAAACAATTATTTTTAGACATGCTAATATTATTAAAAATCGGTGCTAAAAAAAATTGCGGCTGAGTGCGGTTTAACGGCTGGTTGCCCGTAGTAGCTACAGCATCCACCTACCGATCCCAGTTAAAATGGTCGGGGGGTAAAGGGGGGTAACATAACTTTTCCTCCAATTTATGTCGAATTTGGGCATTTTGGGCAATATATTGCTTGGAAGTGTTGTCTGTATAACCCTTAGATGGACGAAGTGCGGGTCTGGTTCTCTCCCAGCACATTTTTATACAGTATTAATTAAAGTTCCGTGCTGATATGCAGGCTACCTGGATTGGTTTGCATCCAAACTGGGAGGAAGCGATAATGTACGATTCACACAAAATCATGAAAATATAGATACATATTCTGACTATGCAGCCCTGCCATTCAAATACGATGCGTCCTATCGCCAAACCAAAGCTTGATTTGAGTTCAGTGGACATTTTTGAGTGGAGAAGCGGTATTGGATGGGTTCCAAAGTCACTTTGAATTTTGACCCTATGATCACGGAAATAGGGGTTCTGACCCACTGTGCGCCGCTCGGTTGCAGTTACCAAGTCTTGGCTGGTCCAGCAATACCGCTTGGTCCCGCCGCCACCCGACCGCCGCAGCAACCCCCCACCTCTTGCCGCCGCACCCAGAGGGGGGCCAGCGGCTGCTGCGCGTCGGCTACCCCCTCCCTTCCGCCGACGGCTGGAGCTGTGCAATGTGCTCCGTCCCTGGCGGCCGTACCGTCACGCGCAGTGATGGCCGAGTGGTACGGTGACTGCTCAGAGAGTGGAGGACTCGGGTTCGACCCCGGGTGGGTGCCGGTTCTTAGAGGGCGGCTACGGACATGTGGGCAGTCAGGACGCTCTCAGGGGAGGAAGGAATGACATCGCGGGAAGTAGCGGGCCGTTGCTCCATTGATATCATATTTTTTTTGAATTTTGAAATTGATATCCTTACCGAAAAACTTGGTTATGATGACCGAGTCTGCCGAGTTCCCAGCACCACTGACTTGTTTGCGACGACCAAGTCAACTTGGTTACTCCAACCATCTCGTCTAACCAAGTCACTTGGTTATCATAACCGACAACTTGGTAACGCAAAAATTAACAATGCGACTTGGTTAGAGCAACCAAGTTTCGAGTTCCAGCAACCGACCTTTTTTTTCAGTGTAGTGCGCGTAGTGCGTAGAGTGCAGTTAAAGTGTTGCTTGTGGTGCCGAACAGCCACCACTCGTGTTCAAGAGTTACAAGCTAATATGGCGACCCTCGAAAAAAGGACGTGTTTTCGCCAAAAGCGGTGTTACTCAGTGCTGTTATTCCATCTTCATAACTTTAGGGACGGGCGATGAACGTGTGGGTGGCGTATTATATCAATTCGCTTCTCCTCTTTCATCCTCGTCCCCAAAGTAGTTTCTGCGTGTCGACCGAGTTTCCCTAAAGTGCATCTGGACCTTATGCACTGCTGCGCCTCTGACTGTTTACAGCGTCGACTCAAGTTTTCCAGAAGTGCTGCACTACAATACTTATTTCCGTTGGCTAGCTGCAATGATTTGCGATAATAGGGTAAGGTGCCCAGTGATGGCCACTTTTAGCGCACAGATGCGTCTTCCTACCGTTTACGAAGTCTCTCAATCGTCGTACCGTTTGGGACATTTTCAAGAGCATGCAAGAAGGATAGAGTAAAGGTTCTCCACTTAGAAAAGAAGCAAAATTTAACTCTGTCTTTGCGAAAAGAGTAACCAAAATTTCAGTGCAGTTTGCCTAGTGATGGCCACCCTTTGCTTTGTGATGGCCTGTGCCCTGCTCGGTGATGGCTAGTTTAGGTTTTGAGAGGGGAGTAGCTCTGCGCTTCCGTTTTTGACAGTAATCAGCGAGAAATAAAGTAAAAATTCCAAATCTGCGAAAGAAACGCTGCGATTACTGGTTTGATCTCAGCTCTACAAAATAAACAAATTATGTCAACGCAGCATTCGTTGCGCTG